GGGGTTTGTCTTGAGGTTTCTGAGTGAGAGAAGGGCTAATTACCACCACTAGGAAACCCAGGGTTGGGATCCTCCCTCATGGCCTGGGCACAGTGTAATCTGGGGGTATGGATGGGAGAACTGTGAATACTTGAACTCTACCCCGCCCCCCACCTGACCCCCATCCTCTACACTCATCTGCCTAAGCTCCTCCTGTGGGTGGGGGTGGGAGAGCCTTGTCTATCTTGCCCAGCCTAGGAATTTGGGTAGAGAAGTTAAGCCAAATGCAGGGAGGGGATGCAGATGGAGCCCAGTAGCCACTTCTACCCTTTAAGTGTGTCTGAAAATAAACTGCCATCCCCCCATTCCCACTAGTAATTTTTATATCTTCTGCTACCCCTCTTTCCATCAGGATGGATTCAGGGAACCTGGGCATGCCTGGCATTCACCTGGTTTGCTACTGAATAAGGTCTCTTGGGTTTCCAGAATCCTGTAAAGGGCTAGCTGTGGTTCTACAGCCCCCTAGCATGCCTTGGCTCCTCCCCACCTCTCTAGCCCTTTTTCTAGGCACTTCCATCGTCTGAGTACCAGGCGAGTTTTCCACCCCCTTAGGAAGTCTTGGATTCTGGCTACAGAGCTGGTGGAGCAGCTATAAATGTCTGGGGACCCCCACAGGCTACCTCAAGCCTGGTCTGAATTCTCCCTTCCTTGGTCCACCACTCACTCTAGCCTAAAAGCCCTTCCCCATGTTCCCCACAACTAACTAGCACATACACAGTACTTTATAGTTTTGGCGCTGCATGGAAGTCCCTCTGGGGATGCAGCGGGGGATGATAAATTAACAAGCATGGAGCCAATCTACAAAAGGCTTTCTAGTCCTGGGCACTCTGGTCTGTTTCTGACACCCTTCCAAAATGGTCACACGCAGTCCTAAAGGACTCAGGGGCTTTAACTCCCCTGAGGGAGTCTTGCCAATCCCCTTGCTCCTCCAACTTGGCCTTCAGAGTCCACAGAAAGACACAATCATGGAGCCAGGAACTGCAGCAGTGGTGGCTCGAGGTTTTACACGGAGATCGGAGGGGTGGGCGCTGGGGCCGTTGGCTCAGGAGCACAGGACCGCCAAGGCGTTAGGTGGGGAGGGGCTATCTGGTATCCTCGCCGCAGCGGGGCGCGAACCCTCTGCAGATCAGCTGAGGGCGGGCGGGCTACCGAGTCCAAGATGGCCGCCGCCGCCGCGAGAGCACGTGGGCGGGGCCTCCGGGCGCACCGCCCCCTCCCCCCCAGCCTGAGGCCTTTCTGGAAATGCAGATTCTCCCGTGGCTGGAATAAAAGCGGTGGGCAGTGGTAGGGCTTGTGGCTTCTACCACTGTAAGAAAGGAGAGGGAACGCTGTCCTGAAAGGCATGGGGAGCGCCGGAAGGGCTTGGCCTGTGTCTAGCTAGCCCCGGCCCCTCCACCTTCTGTTCTGCAGCCAGGGTGAATTTTCCAAAACCGAAATCTAAGCGTTTAGGGAGATGCTGAAACCAGGGCGGGAAAAGTTAGGAGGGACAGAACAAGGCAGGGACTGTGGGGGTACAGGGGAGCAAATGGGTTCTCAGGTGTTGAGGAAATTAAATTCTCAAAATGCCCTCGAACTTTGTGGTTCTTCTGAAATTGTAGTTTTATTTCCACTTAAGAGGTCTAGATTTCTGTCTGGTGCCACTGAGCTGAGACAGGCCAGCCACAGAAAAGGAGCATGTTCAGGTGTCATCCCCTCAACTGTGTAGTGTCAGTATAAACTCCTGCTCTGCATTTTACCCAGCACCTTCCCACCCGCACCCTGCATGTGTTTGCTGTTTTACCTCCTCTGAAGAAAGTGTATTTTAGGTCACTGGGTATCCATCCAAAACAGAAAATCCTCTTTCGTCCAAACCATTCAGTAAACTGTTTGAAAGAGTTTTTATTACCTAACCATCTGAACAGTATTAAAATTAATTCATTAGGTAATCAAAATAAATGAAACCACCATACCCCACTCCAGTTATGCACATGTCACATGTAAAGGTCCTTGATCAAAACACTTGTAAAATATGGATTTAGTTCGATGTAAGTAGAACAGATGTGCATAATCCTGGGATGAGGGATGGGGAGGGGGATAGAGAGAATGGAGTTACTAGAGATTTCTGGAGGTCAGGGACCAGAAAATCAGGCAAAACCCAGCTTCTGGGGCATGTTCGCCATGCTGGACATGTTAAAACAGTAAACATCAGACTACTGGGATATAAAAGATGGGAGATTCAGCCCAGTAGATAATAAGAGGACAAAATACAGTGATCTGACCTATTGAGCACATGACTGGAAGTAGGTTCCCAGGAAATTGTATGAATGATTCGGTAGAAGGGAAGCCTCACAAGACCAAAATCAGGTGTGAACTCCCAGACTGCAGACCAGTATCGTCCGAGGCCTGTTACTAACTGGGCCACACAGCAGGAGACAAGAGGTGGGTGAGCAGCAGAAGCTTCATCTGTATTTGCAGCCACTCCCCAGCACTATCATCACCACCTTAGCTCCACCTAAGACATCAGGCATTAAATTCTCATAGTAGCACTGGTTCCTGGTGCCAAAAAGATTGGGGGATCACTGAGATAAAGGACCAAGAAGGGCAAACTCTGGAAAAGTTTCTTAATAACTGAAAGGACTAAAGCCACAAAATTTCGCTTGACCTGGAGTGTGGAATTTTGCAACAGATGTGGCAGGCACCAAATGGATCCCTGTGGGATGTGTGCGTATGTGTGTGTAGCATCTGGAGAGTAACAGTTGAACGGGCATTGATTGTGGAAATCAACATGAAAATCAGTATACCTCTCAGCCCTACTCACCTCAATTCTTCCTTTGCAATCTTGAAATCATTCCTGGTGCCCATACCCCAACTTTTCCCAACACTGGCTAAGAACAAAGCAAGAAAGTTCTTCAGATTTGTCTGCTCTGTTGTATCACGCAGTGTATCTATTTTGCAGAGTTCACAGCACAGACTTTTGTGACAACTGGCTGTATGGAAGCTGGGCTCACCAAGCTTCTCAAATTTTGACCTGACCTTTGACTCTACTGAGAGCAACTTCTTCAATTCATTTGTGCAGATGATTAGGCTGATTCAAGAGTGGTAACATTTTCTTGCTAAGGGAGGACCACACCAAGGAAAGGCAGAGTGCTTTGGCATGTCCAGCATCTCTGAATTGTGATGTGAATCAGAGTGCAAGGGAGGCGCTGGGCTGGGCTTAGGGATGTGGTTCCCAGGTCTACTGAAAAAGAATGAGGTTTCAAGAAACCTGAATAACACTGTTACCAGGCAATGTATGAGAAGGGATGTGTGAGAAGTGCTATCCTGGAAAGAGGGTGGGGAAATGCCCCTGGTTGTGATATGTAAAGTCATGGACAAGATTGTCTTCACATGACCTTGGACTTTCATTCTGGCCTGAAAAATGGCTAGCTAGGAGTTGAACCCTCTTTCTTCTCTGGATGAAAGGAGCCATACTCAAGCTCAGCTTACCATGAGACTAGGGGCTATTCCAAATATTTTGTGTCCCTCTCACTGGCCAGCTGGGGACACAGTAATACTCAGAGGTCTGAGGTCTCTTGCGCTGACACCTGACTCCTGTAATGGACTAGTACCCTAAATCCAGACTCTATGGTGCTAAGCAGCCTGGTGTCCTTTGTTGATAAGGCTGCTTTTTCATGCCAGCTCCATACAAAGGCAGGGCGATGGCAGGAAGGCCCTTCCGTTGCAATGCACACGACAGAGCAGGCCCAATAGCAGGCCCAGCCACTACTACCCTGGCTCACCTCCCTTGGGATGAGAGGAGGGCCCTCTTACTGACCTCTTATTTTCTCTTTTTCTGTAAAGCTGTAAAGAAAAGACACACTACTGTTTTCTGTCTACTCACACCACTACTGTCACTTCTGACACTTCTGGCCTCCAAATATATAGGAATTTTTTCCACACCAAGCAATTCCATGACACCAGCTGGGTGTCCTACAATTTAACTCAGTTCTGACCCTATCTATCTGCAGATGAGAGTCAGATTCCACAGAGTTGAGGCTCATTCGTACAAGACTGCATCCCCTTCCTCCCAACCATCAATTTCAAGTGTAGGTTGTCACCTACCTTCTGACCTACTATAAATCAGAGGTTCCCACAATCCCTCATCAGGTTTGATAAATTTGGTACAGCTGTTCACGGAACTCAGAAAAAGTTTACTTACTAGATTAACTAGTTTATTACAAAGGCTATGAATGAACAACCAGATGAAGAGATACTTAGGGCGAGATCTGGAAGAGTCCTGAGCAGAGGAGCTTCTGTCCCCATGGAGTTTGGGGTGTGCCACCCTCCTGACAAGTGGAGGCGTCCATGTTCCCATAGGCATGTTGATTAAACCATTGGCCATTGGTGACTGGTTCAACCTCCTGCCCCCTCTTCTCTCCCTGGAGGTGGGGCTGAAATTTCCAAGGTTGGTTCCTTTTGGCAACCAGTCCCCATCCTTAGGGGCTCTCCAAAAGTCACCTCATTAACATCAACTCAGCTGTGGTTGAAAGGTGCTTGTTATAACAAAAGGCATCTTTTTCTATATCACTCTTACAGGAAATTCCAAAGATTTTAGGAGCTCTGTGACAGAAACAAGGATGAAGACCAAATAGATATTTCTTACTATAATGACAATATCAGAAAAGCCTATTTACATGCTACATGATGCTGCAGAATTTGTCTTCAACCTGAGTGCCAGATAGGGGGAGACTCAGAAGGGTTTTGTCCAATGGGAAAGGAAACTTGAAGAGGGTAGAGGAAGAAGAGCTGGGGGCACAAGGGTTCCAGCATAGCGTCTCAAATGAATTTCTCTTCCTTGCTGCTCGGGGCCCTCCCTGGCACCACACTTCATACTGCAGTACCTCCCTCTGTTCACAGCAGCTCTGAGTCAGACACTGCTTCTCTACATT